CTGAGCCCCAGCCCCAGCCCTGTATTTATTTATTTTTGTAGTTGTAAATGGAAAAAATACCTTTATTTTATTTATTTTTATGTGGTGTTGAGGATCGAACCCAGTGCCACACACATGCTAAGCAAGGGCTCTACCACTGAGCCACAGCCCAAGCCCCTATCCTCTATTTTCAAAATCCAACCATATGACCATTTTCCTGAAACGGTCTCATTGCTATAGCCTAGAATCGTATCATCTCTAATTTTACAATCACTTTCCCCTGGGTTATTTAATAATTTAATATTCCAGATGCCCTGTTTAAATATCACCTATGCCCCATATCCTCCAGGACAATATCCAAACACATTAGACCCTTATAATATGGAATACTTTGTCTTCTTTTTTAAAAAATATTTTTAGTTGTAGATGGACACAATAACTTTATTTTGTTTATTTAGTTTTATGTGGTGCTGGGGATCAAACCCATGCTAAGCAAGCTCTGTACCACTGAGCTACAACCCCGGGCCCCTTGTCCGTCTTCTTAACCTCATCTCTGCCTGTTCTCCATTGGACCCAGAATGCCAGCCATGTTAAGCCCTTCCCAGTTCCTCGAAATCCTACTCCTATCCCAGGGATATGTACATTTTTTCTTCTGTCCTGACTGCTCTGGTTCAATGTCCATCCTGTGGCCCATCATCACCTATAACCTTCAGGTTTCATCTCAAATATAAACATTTCAGGGCCATTGGCCAGCCATTCAGAATCCTTATCCCTAAATTAGAAAGGGTTCTTCCCTCTCTTACCCCAAGGCATTCATCAGGATTGCATGGAAATTTCAGAAAACCTGGCCACTACCATAAGCAGTGAAATGAATCATTGCAACAGTCTTTGGCGTGAAAAAGTAACTGGCAATAGCAAAAGAAAGGAGAGAGAGAAAGTAAGAAGGAGAGGGAGAGAGAAAAGAAGGAAGGGAGGCAGGGAGGAAGGAAAGAAAGTTCAAGATTGATGAGAAATGAGAAAATTTGGAGTGAAAAAGAATAAGAAAAGATCCAGTTTCTTGAAGACTATTTTGGGCAAGGGCAAACTTAGACACTTTAAGATGCAAGATCACGGGGCTGGGGATGTGGCTCAAGCAGTAGCGTGCTCGCCTGGCTCGGCCCGGGTTCGATCCTCAGCACCACATACAAACAAAGATGTTGTGTCCGCCAAAAACTAAATATTGAAATTCTCTCTCTCTCTCTCTCTCTCTCTCTCTCTCTCTCTCTCTCTCTCTCTCTCTCTCTCTCTCTCTCTCTCTCTCTCTCTCTCTCTCAAAAAAAAAAAAAAGATGCAAGATCACTGATGGCACAGGCCTGTAATCCTAACAGCTGGGGGAGGGCGCTGAGACAGAGGAGAATCCAGAGTTCAAAGCCAGCCTCAGCAAAAGCAAGGCTCTAAGCAACTCAGTGAGATGGGTACAAAGGATACTTCCAGTGGCCAAATGCAAATGAAGGCAGTGGGATGGAACTGCCAAGCAGCATCATGGGAGACAAACTCTAAGCAACTCAGTGAGACCTTGTCTCTAATAAAATACAAAATTGGGCTGGGGATGGGGCTCAGTGGTGGAGTGCCCCTGAGTTCAATTCCTGTTACCAAAAAAGAAAAAAAAAAAAGATTCTGGGTTGAGATGGGTACAAAGGATACCTCCAGTGGCCAAATGCAAATGAAGGCAGTGGGATGGAACTGCCAAGCAGCATCATGGGATACAAACTCATGGAATGAAAGACATGCCAATGTTATCTTATGTTTCATGGAAAATCTTGAGCCAATCTGGCCTGGGAGCAGTTTGCCTCTCACCTAACAGCATGTCTGCTTATGTAGATCTATTTTTAGACAGTTATGAAATAATACATCTGCATGTACATCTTATTTTTATTTAGTAAATAATTACTCATATGAACATGAGGTTTTTCTTGCTTTTTACTATGTGTAATCCTGGCACATGCTTCCATGACTATTTCCTCAGGTCAGATTTGGAGCAGTAGAATTACTAGATCACTGCTATTAACAAACTGCCTTTCAAGTAGCTTGGAACAATTTCTTTTCTCATCAGCAATGTTTAAGATTGTTTCTACTAGATGCAGTGTTACTACTAGATTACACAGTGTTATTACTAGATTACAGTGTCTACTAGATTACACGCCTGTAATCCCAGCAGCGCAGGAGGCTGAGACAGGAGGATCTCAAGTTCAAAGCCAGCCTCAGCAACAGCAAGACATTAAGCAACTCAGTGAGACCCTTTCTCTAAACAAAATACAAAATTGGACTGGGGATGTGGCTTAGTGGTCAAGTACCCCTGAGTTCAATCCCTGGTATCAAAAAAAAAAATTGTTTCCACTGATAATCTGCAGCACTTTTTTTTTTAGTTCTCCAATTAAATAAGCAAATTTATACTTGTCTCGAATTTGAGAGTGAAGGAAACTGTTTTTTAAGATCATGTGAAGTCATATAACACAGATGTTATTTGTTAATACCCCCAGACCTCCAAATCCTCTATTTCATCTCTTAATTTCTCCTGTAATATAAATTCTAGATCCTATAATTTCAATTTAATATTTTAAGACCATATTGAATTGGGGGACTTGCAGATAAACCACTGTTAAATTATCATTGAAATTTTTAGAAAAAAAAGACAAAAAATAAAAATTTGAATATTGTTTTGTTTATGAGCTAATTTGGACAGTATCACCAAATCTGTCTTATGTGTTATGTTTTCAGTGAATGATGCAAGTATTTTACTCAAAAAAGGAGCTTTTTGTTGTTGTTGTTATTGTTGTTATTTTGAAAAGTCCTCCCTCTATAAAATAGCATTGACAGCTTCTTTAGTCTTATCTTTTAACATACCCGTTCTTTAGGGCTAGAAATGACTAATCATGTTATCACATGTCCTAGATCATATCCCTATTATTTTACCTCTTACTGCTCTAAAGAATCACTCATCCCTATTTCAATTCTTGTTACAAAACATAATCTGGGATTATCTACTTTTCTACCAAATGTAAAATGATTTTTAAGGGAGTTCTTTGCATCCTTTATCTTCCAGGCTTAGCAGCCTTGTAAAATAATTCTTATATAACAAATGAATTTCTGGAAGTCTAACTTGGCTAAGACAACACAATTGTAAACCAAAGATCATCCTTTTGTCCATATTAAACTCACCAAGTAAATAAATGATCTTCTATTTGGTTCTGCTTGGATTTTTATGTCCAAAGGTAACAGCTACTTCCAAGGGCTGAACCTGATGTGTGAAATTCCTTATTTCATAAGATGTAAAATTTAGTGCAGAAATATTAAATTTTTGTCATAATTGGGTTTTTTGTTCATATTCTTTCTTACCATTTCACAATAGAAAAATTAAACTTTATGATCACTTTTTCAGGAGTATTTGGACAGAAAATAGAGGACTAAAAATAATAATTTCCTTGAAGATATAATTGTTAATTATTGTTAATTATTCTTATTACCATTAACATTTACTTAATAGTAGGCATAACAACCAAATGCACTGAAAGATCCTTGATTGGATCTGGGACTTAAAAAATTAAAAAGCTGGGCTGGGTACGCACAGTTCAGTGGCAGAGCACTTTCCTAGCATGTTTAGGGTCCTGGGTTCAATTCCCAACACCAAATATACAAATAAATATTAAAAAATAAAAACTTCTAAAGAACATGTGGCTAATTGGAGAAATTGAATGTGGGTCATATGTTAGATAATAGTATTGTATTGATATTAAATTGCCTTGGTGTCACAATTGTGCTGTGATTATGAAATAGACTTCCCTTATTCTTAGGAGATATATACTCAAGAATTTAGGGGTGACATGTGTCCTACAGTCAACAATATACTCTGAAATGGTTCAGAGAAAAAAAAACTGAGAAACACATACAGAAAGAGAGAGTAAATGTGGCAAAATGATACAACTGATTAATCTACAAAATCGAAATAAAAAAATAGGTGTTCATTGTACTATCCTTTCAATTTTTATATATGTTTATAACTTTGAAGAATAAAAATGCAGGGGTCAACGAATACAGGGACAATATCTTATATACCTAAAATAACAATTATATATGTATTTGGAAATGTTCTGGTGACTTTATGTAAGTATTTCAAACATCACTTTGCTCTAGATAATAAGTAGTGCACTACTCTTGTAAATCTTCAAAATCATCAGCATGATATGGATGTTTAACACAGATTTCAAATACTCTTTACTCTTACAAGCTTCTCAAGCTATGAAACAATTGCCTTACACTAAACTATGCAAGGAATGTTATATAAAAAATCAGTATGCGTATTCTGACTAAACAAGGTCTATATGCAAGCATATATTCAAGAAGCATGTGCACAAAGCAAAAGAATGCTTCAGCAGGTCTAAAGATATTTCTAACAAAAGTCTTAATATCCTAAAGCAGGCTTTTCCTAAATCACCCAGATGGCAATTTGAAAAGCATCATCATTATAGATCAGATTCACTTTGAATATATGCTGCCACATAGAACAACACTATCAAAGCTTGGTGAACTGAATAATTGAGAGTGAAATCCAACTGGAATGCATTGTGATTGTGTTTGTCTCTATAACTCATTTCTGTAACTGAATTCAAGAGCCACGTTGTCAGTGCAAAATCCTACTTAAGTTTTTAGGCCTTCTGTTAAAAATGTGGAAACTAAACTAGCACAGTAACCAATAAGAGGACTGAATAAATTATACAAGAAGGAATTTGATCAAACCAGTCAAAAAATTTTAGGTTAATTTTTTTAAATGTCAGGAATCGCACAAGGAGATAAGAAAAGAAAGTGAATTCCTTTTTATTGTCCAACCCCATTCAACGCTTGCTTCAACTCCTAGTCACCTCTGATTTGGTGAGCTTTAAAAATATTTTAGATGAACTGTGACAATAAAGGGTTAAGAAAGTGAGAAGAGAAATGGAAGGAAATGTTACCAGAATCGGTAGGACCCGTTGCCTCCTTTTTCTTACCTTCACTAGCCAGTCTGCTACTTTGGTCCTGCAGAAACACAATGATTGTCCCAATAGAAATGAACAAGCCAGCCAACACTCTTTCCAGAACGTTTGCAAGTCTTTGACTGGTGAGACTGAGAAAATAAGCTGCTCATTTCATTGCAGTTCTTTTTATAACTGATCCTATGGAAAAAGAGTTGTTTTTGCACAAGTCTGATTTGTACAAAGAAGCAGTGGGAAGTCCCAGGAAATGGGGGGTGGGTAATAACTGACGAACCCACATCGAGCCACAGAATGCACAGAATGGTGTTTCTTCCCCTTTTTCGAAAAATGAAACCTATCTATGAAACTGTCTCTTGCTAAAAAAAAAAAAAAAAAAAAAAAAAAGAAAGAAAGAAAGAAAGAAAAGTTTATTTCTATGCATTATGCAAGCACCCTATCAACACAATTAATTTCTCTTTCTACAATAACTAATTCTGTGGGAACCCTTTACTGAAATTCAACCAAAGCCATTTATGACTTTAGAAATTTCTCAGTTTTATCACTAATTTATATTTTTAAGAAGTATTATTTATCAATCATGTTTATAATTCTAAAAATGCAATGAAAAAAAAAGTTTTCTCTTTCCAATTACCTAAAGTTAAAATTTTGTGGGCAAGGTTGTGGAGAAACGGACACTCCCATCCACTATTAGTGAGATTGTAAACATATTTAGAGAGCAATGTTTCAGTATCAGTCAAAATTTATTCCTTTTAAATGCAACTATTTCATTTCTATAAATTTATCTTAGCTATATATACATACTTGTGCACAAACATGTATATGAACATATATTTGTCACAGCATTGTTTGAAAAAGTAAATGAACCCCCCCCCATCCTCTCCCTGTGGAGACCGAACCAACCCCTTGCACATAATCACATATGTATTTACAGCAGCACAGCAAGCTGTGCTTGAAGGGCTTTGAACCTGGCTGGCCAGGGAAGCAGAATGGGTGGATAGAGCTGTTTTTCCTTCTGGGCTGTTCTTCATCTGTCCCTGCCCTTTTCATGTCCCACCCCACTACCAACAAAAGTATATTTTTCACTGTCCATTGTTTTATGTTTGAATAAACAATTTATAGTGACAATAAAAAAGAAAATGAAGATGACTGAGAAAAAAATGTTATCCATAAGTATGATATTAGCTAAATAAGTAAGAATGTATCCCTCTTGTGGAATATTATGCAATTGAGTGAGGTAGATTTATGTCTACTGATAGAAAAGGATATCTAAGATACATTCTTTAGCAAAAAATTATGTTCCAACTTGTGATTTTAAAGGAATACACACACATATATACATACACACACACAAATTATTTGCTAACTAGAATATTTCTTTTTCTGTATGGATACAGAAAAAAAATAGAAACAAGCAATAGCCTTTCTAGAACGAGGTTACTTTTCATTCTCCACCCCTTTGAAATTTTTATCTTGTATATGCATGTCCATTTTACAAACTTGTATTTTAGTCCTATTTAAATTTACTTGATTTTACAGTCCAAGTATATTATAATCTGTCTTTTCTAGATGACAGACAAGTCTATCTGCAAATGAATCAGTTCTTCTTGCCCCAAAACAGAAAATTAAAGTTTTCAAAAGCCCTTAGTTGGTTTATCCTGTTTCAATTTAACTGGCAAAGAATAACCCTGCTCAAATGATAACCATTTCATTATCTTTTTCTACGTAGACCAAAGCTATTTTCCAAATCCTTAATTGGTGACCATTTCCACTTAGTGAGTTTGATTGTTTTGTTTACCTTTGTTCAATGGCTTATCCTAAAAACTCACTTTTAAAATCTTACTAGCATTTTTATTAGAGTCTTTCATAATTTTCTGCATTATGTCATGGATATAGATCCAATTGAAAAGGCAGTTTACATATGAGCCATAATAAGGACAGTTATCAACTAGTTTCAAATCTGACTTGATCTGCTATAAGAAACACAGACTCATGGACTCAGGGGTAGGCTCAGTGGCAGTGCAATACTATAAAATCTGACCTGGGATGTCTCCAGGCTTTGGTAGGTCATCAAGGATCTAGTTGTGATCAAGAGATCATAGAAACTTCAAGGCCAAACATTGTTTAATTTCACCTTTGTGTAAGTCCAACCACAATCATGCGGATACCCTAGAGTGAGTCTTACCTAACTCCAGAAACACACTTTGGTGAATTCCCCAAGAACTCACTTGGCAATGCCATGAAATAACCAACAAGGGGTATTCCACCCCACTGCAGGTTTGCTTACGTCACATGTATTAAATGAAGAATTTGATAACACTCTTGATTTTGTATCTTAAACTGAAAATCATCCTTGCCAGGAAAAAGTTTTCTGTAATAAAATATTTGGCATATGAGAAGTTAGCTTACATCTCTCTTTGTATAAAACCTGAGCATAAGAAATTGGTTTTGGGGCTGGGGATGTGGCTCAAGCGGTACTGTGCTCACCTGGCATGCGCCGGGCACTGGGTTCGATCCTCAGCACCACATAAAATAAAATAAAGTTGTTGTGTCCATCGAAAACTGAAAAATAAATATATAAAAAAAAGAAATTGGTTTTGAACTGCTTTCCTTTGTTGACTATAATAAAGTAGGATGGAAATTTCCTCAATAGCTGAAATCTTATAATATGGGTTTCCATTAATCTGCTATATTGCCTTGATTTCTGTTTCTCTAAATGGATATTATTACTATTACCCAATTACCTCTGCCAGTGTAAAAAATATCTTCTATGCAATTTCCATCATATCATCCACATCTAGCTCACTCTACAGTGGCCACCCTATATTTACTTCTAAATGTTCTAACACTAGTTGATTTTGTGTCACTGCACACTGCTAGTTATTCTCCTTCCTCCCCACTTTCTCCTTTCTAATCTCTTTCATTAGTTTCACATCAACCATCTATTTCCTAGAACTAAGGTTTCTTGCTTTTTTTATCTTATTGTAAATATCTTATCTTGGTGAACTCATCACTTGCCACACCTTCCACTATCTTCTCTTCATGACCTGTATTGTATATCTGTATCTCTAGGCCGGATTGTTTTTCTCTTATGATCACAAAAAGCTTGTTTATGGGCATTTGACTACTTTAATCATCTGCCTCAAAGGTCACATTCTCACTTATCTTTTTTTAATATTTATTTTTTAGTTGTAGTTGGATACAATACCTTTATTTATTTTTATGTGGTGCTGAGGATAAAACTCAGGGACTCACACTTGCTAGGCAAGTGCTCTACCACTGAGACACAACCCCAGCCCACATCCTCATTCATCTTTTTTTAATATTTATTTTTTAGTATTTGGTGGACACAACATCTTTGTTTGTATGTGGTGCTGAGGATCGAACCCGGGCCGCACGCATGCCACGCAAACGCGCTACCACTTGAGCCACATCCCCAGCCCCCTCATTCATCTTTATGGCAAGACCTAAACTCAAATTCCTACCTTGAATTCCTCTCTAATTTAACTTCATCCTTGATCTCTACAATTAGTCACCAATGCCTGCCAATTTGATACAATAGACCAAAGTCATTTATAATTGGATTTTCTTTGCACTTCTAAGAAAAGTAAACAAAACAACAACAAATAAAACAATAGTACCCATATGACAGTACACAAAAAAACCCTTTTTCATAATAATGCATAATATAACATCTTTAAAAACACAATTCACCAGAAATAGCAGTGCATGCCTGTAAACCCAGCTACTCAGGAGGTTGAGAGTGAAGGCCAGCCTGGATAACTTAGCAAGACCCTGCCTCAAAATTTAAAAAATGGGGGTGGGTGGGGATGTAGCTCAGTGACAGAGTACTTGCCTGGCATATATGAGGCCCTGGGTTCCATCCTCATTACCACAAAAACAAAACTTGTAATCCTATCTACACAATATACATTTTTCATAGTTTATCTTAATAATTACTTTTTCTGCAGATATAATTATAATATTCTACATATGTTTTTAATGTACTTTCTCTACAAAAGATTAATTTTAGTTGGCATTCTATAAAATTAACATGAACATATTAGAATTTAGAAACATGTTACATATCCCATAGTGTTAAATTAATATGACATTTAAAAATTCTTAGTTATACTCCAGTAGGTTTAATTTATACCAAAGAAATCCATGAGGTAAGCTCCAGGGCAGTACTGCTTATCTTGAAGACAGAATGACAGATTATAATTGCTTTATTAAGTACAACATTCTGAATTCCTATGAAGCTGTAATAGCTTGTTGTGCACTAGAGATTTTGTTATTTAGGATATAATTGATTGTAATGTATACTGTTTGCTCTTGAATAATTCCCATTTTCCACCTCAGAAAGATTTTCATTTCAGTATCAAATAATATGATTACTGCATTTGTAAAATTTCTGAAGCATTTTGAAATGCTTTCAGTTGAAAAATGATTTGAAAATGAAATATGATAAAAATTGAAAGGCAAATTGAATTTAATCCTATATATCTCATTTTAAAGCCATGTATAGTACACAGAATAGCTCATCCTTGTCGGCTATTACTCTTTAGTTGGCATCAATCAAAGGTAGCAAAGAAAGTACCTGAATGCTTAAGGAATTAACAATCCCACAAATACTTGAGTTTCTGCTTTCTAATTGTCATCCTTTGATTTTTTTATGGACACTGTCTGCCTTAATGATCTAGTAAACATTGCTAACACCAAATTCAAATCTGTATCATTAACTCTAATTAAAGTATACTGGAAACTGTAGCAAAACTATTTGTTTTAAACCCATTTTAACAAACTTCTCTTTCATAGTTCTTATATTTTCCTCTGTTGATCTCTTATTCCTTCCCTCGATCCGATATTCAGATCTTGAACATGGAGACATTTGCTTCTTCAAGCTAAGATAATGTCTTATTTCATCTACCATAATTGATTTTGAAGAGAATATTATTCTGTTCTCTGGTTGAACAACTTAGGATTTCCATTTAACTGATAATGTTTACTTACCTATTTTTTAAAATATTTTTTAGTTGTAGACAAACACCTTTATTTTATTTATTTATTTTTATTTAATGCTTAGGATCTAACCCAGTGCCTCACACATGCTAGGTGAGCACTCTACCACTGAGCCAAAATCCCTACTTACCTATTTTTTGAAGCTCACACAAATGAGTATTTGCATGAATACTGCTTTGGCCTC